CCGTGTGCATTTCAGGAGGGGGTAGAATGCTTAGTGGTTGGAGGAGAGGGAGGGTGGGTGGAGTTTGTAACTGTTCAAGGAAATGTAAGTTCTCACACCTTGGAGGTCTCCACATCTCTCATGGCCTCATTCCGGCAGCTCCCCTGAGTCCTGGCGCTGGATGGCATGCCAGGAGCCTCTAATTGCTTAGGAGTGAAACAGCTACATTTCTTTAAATATATTCTGCCCTTCGGACTTACTCTATGTCCCTAGGGCAGATTTGGGAAAATCTCTAGTCTAAGGCAGCATTGCCTGAGGAAAAGGCTGCATCCCAGAGGATCTTGTTAAAATGCAGATCCAGGGCCCCACCCTGATCCGAGGGGGCTCTGGGAAGCCTGTTTAGTCCATGCTCCCTGAGCCGGGAGAGACTTCCTGGTTCAGAGGACCCTTTGGCTCCCCTTGGGGGAAGGAGTGGAGCTTCCTCCTAGCTTTCTTCTCACAGAGTCTGAATTGGTGAGAGCTGCCCCCGGGAATGGGAGCGAGAACGTGAATTCAGTATCTTGCAGTGATGAACTTGAGCTTCCTGTTCAGAGATGTGGGTTGAACCCTGGATCTGTCACTTGCGGGTCCTGACCCTGGGTGGTTATGTAACCTGAGGACTAGTTTGCTCATCTGAGAAATGGGGATGAGGATGTTATCCCCTGCATAAGACTGTGGTCAGGATTACAGGAGCTAGTGGGTTTTAAGCTGTTAGCAGAGCGCCTGGCACATTCTAGGGCTTGGCAGCTGGTACCTGTTCATGCCATCCTCACCATAGCAGTCATGACAGCAGTATCTTGCTCTCCTTATTGCTATGGGGCTTCTCCTGGTGAAGGTGGGTGTGAGGATCATATCTGGAGGGTCTCCTCTCTGCTCACGCCCAATTTCTGTTTCTAGGATCATCTAAACTTCTACTGTACTGGGAGCAGCCTGGGGAACTTGATCCTGTCCATCAAGTGTGAAGAAGCCGAGGGGATTGAATACCTCCGTATCATTCTCAGGTGGGGTTTGCACTGTTGGAGGCCACACCTCTTCCAGGTGGAGCTGCCTGAAGTGGCAGGGGACCCAGAAATACCAGTCTGATCAGTCTGGCTAGGGAGTGCTGGGGGACTGACCTGCTGCAGTCCTGGGGCTATGTCTGAAGCCGACAGGCGGGGAGACCAGATGTGCCTGCCAGCTGGCTGCAGTGTCAGAGAGCTAGCCTGGTCTCAAGGTCACCTGGACCGTATCCCTACCTGACTCTCTTTCTTTTACAATTTGCTATAGGGTGCATGTTCCCATGCAGAGTGACAGAGAGGGGAAGTGAGAAAGCACGCCCGCAGGGGCATGGCCATGCTGCGGTCACTTCACTGTCCTCTTGGGATTTTTAGGCACACACGCGCATGTGCCCACTGTGATTATCAAGCCGCTGGGTCTGGGACCTGAACTGCACAGTTGGCCATGTGGGATCCAGCCGCCTTAACCACCATGCTACTGGTTGACCCTGACTTTCTTTGTAGGAACTGGGCTCCGAGGAAGATGGAAAGCTAAATGAGGAGCGGCTTAGTGTGACTCAGGCGGGGTGCTTAGTGGGGCTCAGGCTGAGCTACTGCTCCAAATCCTGGGAGAGTGTTTGCCAGGACTGCCTGTGGAGTTCCGCAGAGCCCAGAGCCTCTGGTGTGTGTGTGCAGGGCTCCCTGAAATGGAGTGATGTTCACAGCGGGGACTCCCATTTACAGCTGGAGCCAGGATGCCTGGCTCAGCAATGTGACCTCCTCAAGGGCAGGATCTGGAACTGGTTTCTGTCTGGTTCAGCTGGCATGTTTTGTAAAGCCTCCTTTGTACCAGCAACTATGGTAGGTGCGGGGGTAAAGGATGACTGAGATGTGGCCCTTGTTTTCCAAAGGCTTACAGTCTAGTGTGAGAGAAACTCACAATTTGAACGTGTCTCAGGTATTATTTTAGTGATATGCCCAGGATGCTTTAGGGACACAAAGGGGTGCATGTCTTATTTAACCCTGCTCCTGGTGGGCTGGTGGAGAAGCCAGGAAGGCCAAGTGCTGGGCGCGTCACAGGGTGATAGCAACCTGCTGTGCGCTCACCTCGTATTTGTTATATGATTGGAGGTCCTTGCAGGCATTTGGGAAAGAAAAGTAACGTTTTTTTACTGCCCAAATTTTAAGATAAATTTGGAAGGAAGAAATGACACCTAACACTGATTTGGGGAGGTAGGAGGAGATGATTTGAGGAAATTGTCACCATCCATCCAATCTTGATTCACTTATTATAAAAGGAAGAATCTTTCTTTCTCTCTTTCTCTCCTTCCTTCCTTCCTTCCTTCCTTCCTTCCTTCCTTCCTTCCTCTTTCTTTTTTCTCCCTTTCTTTTGCTTTCTTTCTTGCTTGCTTTCGTAAAGGTTTGCCTGGATAGAAACCATATTTACAAGGCATGAATGAGTCAATTGTATAGCTAGAGCCAAGTTTTCTGAGGGAGTGATACCTGAATCCCCACCTCCAAATAGGTTTTCTAGCTAGGTGAACACCCGTAAAGAGAATTGTTTCTTTTCTTAATAAAAACCAGACCAAGATTGGGTGGGATGGCTGACTAAGATGACCTATGAATACAAGGATCTAACCCATTCCCCCCCTCCCCCAATATTATATCCTATTTGAAATACTGCATCTGGACTGAAAGTTAGAAAAAGTTGCCAGGCACACAACCTACACTTAGATTTTTTTTAAAAAAAATTTATGCAGCAGTTAAGGACTAAAATATAACTGATATTGAGAGTTGGACACCAGTTTCCCTTCCTTAGAAAACTAGGGAATATATGAAACTGGAGATTCTGGAAGCATCATGTACTCTTTAGGAGTGAGAGTGAGACCTGGCCTGGTCAGGGGTCTTTCCACATGGAACCACTTTTGGTGTTCTGGGGCAACAGTACTTGAAGTCAATGCCCTGGGAACCTGGCGGCAGGATCACAGTTATGAAGCCAGTGAGTAGGGTGGCAGAGGGAAGTCATAGACTAGCTAGGAAGCTGAACAATCACACTGTGTACTTGGAGTGGTTTCCAGGCTTAACTGGAAACCAGACATAAAAACTTGGCTTTATGATTTAGCAGCTTTAGCAGACACAAAGAAGAAATTATCAAAAGATGAAATTCCCCGTCTGGCAGTGACTACTGTCCCAGCTTCTTCCTCATTCCCCATAGGCTTCTGGATTATTTAATTGATGTCACAAATGCGGCGAGTATGCTAACAGTCTCTGTGTGCTATGAGAGTACCCAGGGAAAATCTATCCACAGTTTAGAGACAAATCACAAAACCATGGAAGTGTCTTCATTTTCAAGTTTGTGCATGAAGAAGAGGGAAAAGAGAAACAAACCCTCATAGGTCTGTGAAGTAAAGATTCCGTGTCTAATAAAAAGCATAAACCAAGTACAGAATGTAGAAAGAAATCTTTTGAAAAAGATTTACTATATAGTGATGCAAAACTGAGATATTTATAAACTTCTATTTTCTGCAGACTACTTAGAAAAAGAAATACTCTGAAAGAAAAGACGAAAGATAAAATAAGGCAACTGGATGAATTGAAAAAGTTTCTCATTAAGTTAACGCGGTAATATGTAAAAACTAAAAGTGGCCCAAGAAAATTTAAAAAGGTATAAGAAGCAGTAAAGAGCAAAATCTACTTTGTATAAACTCCAGTTAATACTATGGAAGACAAGCTTAAAGCGTTCTTGGAGTAAGTCAAAGAAAACAAAAATTTTAAATTATGAGCAAGATTATGGTGAAATTAAACATATGGATAATTTATGATCTTAGACTAATTAAAGACTTAAATCTGCAGAGCAAAATGACTCACCTAGTGTCACACCAAATTAATGAGAGAAAATTAATAGCTGGACATATTTCAATGACAATTTAGTATTTTATATATATAAAAACACTGGTGGAATACAATGATTTTAAATAATAAAGGAAGACAAAGGAGGCATACAGAAAAAGAAAATAAGGAATAAATAAATAAATGAATACATACGTGATGATAGGAAATGAGTTAAATTTTGCTATTGAACAGCAAAAATTCTCAGTTTGGTTCATCCAAAAAAACAAAACAAAACAGACTCCCACAACCTATCTGTCTATATCTTACTGAAGAAAGTAAATCAGAATATTTAAAAAGAAAAGTGTTGAGAAAAAGTTATAACTCAAATACAAAAAGAAAACAGACTTGGCAGTATTAATATAGAAAAGTAGAATTCAAGGCAAAAAAAAATCAATGTTATATCAGTGTTATAAAGAGGGCTATTGACTATTTCTAAAGGTAAAATCCACAGCCAAGATATCTTATACACGCATATGTAATGATTAAAATGTGGAAAATGCACAGAGTACACCTGTAGTGACAGATTTCTAACACACTCCCCATCACTTGACAGATTAGAACTAGGGTAAGAAATAAAAGAATCTGGGCAATCACATTAATTTTATTTATATAAATTATATACATTTATCTTTTTTTTTTTTTGAGAGGTTTTTGCTATAGGGCACGTGCGTTCGCCAGACAGAGAGACAGAAAGCGAGAAATCACCCCCCAGGGGGGATGGCCACACCGCAGTCCCTTCTCCTCCATTCTCCTCTCGGGATCTTGGGCACGCACACGCACACACCCAGCGTGAGTTTAAGCCACCAGGTCTGTCTGGGACTCGAACTGCGGTCGACTACGTGAGAGTCCAGCGACATAGCCATTCTGCTAACTGCTGGTCCCAAATTATATACATTTATCTTTATATGTATCCATTTATATTTCTAACTATCAAACTTTGATTCTCTAATAGATTTCTGTTTCTTTTCCAATACCTATGGAATAGTTATACAAATTAGTTTCATAGCAGATTAGTGGTTTTCTCTGTACCTGTTACTTCAGAACCATCTTGGACCTTTAAAACTAAGCAAAGCAGGGAAAACTAAACAAAAACCAATGAACAACAACTACAACAACAGAAAATAAAATGAAATAAAAATCCAAAACTAAAATAAAGACCCAGCCTTCTAGGACCTAACTTAACTATTTAAAACACACACCCAGGGCTAGGAGGTTAAGGCAACTGGGTCTCACATGGACTGACTGAACAGTTTGAGTCCTGGACTTGGTAGCTTGAAAATCACGCTGGGAGCATGTGCGTATATGCCCAAAATTCTGAGAGGAGAATGGAGGAGAAGGGATTATAACATGGCCATCTGTGCTACATAGCAAATTAAAACACATACACATGCAAATATACAAATATGAGATATGTAAAGAATATGTATAAATATATGTATAATATGTTTATATTCTTATTTCTTCCTTATTCCTATAGCAGTCTATAAACCATACTGTTCTTTAACTTGATTATCTTAACAAAGTATCTTAGAATTTCCCTTATTAATCTATCTATCTGTCTATATAAATTTTAAAATTTTATTCATTATCATTATCCTTCAATTTGACTGGAGAGACATACAGAGAGAGAAAGAGTGAGAAAGCAAGTAGCCAGGTCTGGGATTCCCATTTGTGGGAATCCAGTGTATCAACCACCATGTCACCTGCTGACCCCGTAGTATATGTTTTTTAAAAAAATTTTATTGCCAGAGTATGTGTTTGCTTGCATGCATGTGAGAGAGAGAGAGAGAGACTCCTTCCAGTAGGCCATGGTCACACCACAGTCTTTTTCCCACCATTTCTGCACCCCATCAAGATTTGGGACATGCACACACACACACACACACCAGGTGTGTTTTTTCAAGCCACTGAGCTGGGATTTGAATCGTGGTCAGCCATGTGGGATCCAGTTCCCTATGCACAGTGCTGCAGGGCCAGCACTATAGAGTTTCTTATTCCTTCTTTTTTTAGGGGGGGGGAGGTTTTTCGCTATAGGGCACGTGCGCTCGCCAGACAGAGAGAGACATAGAGACAGAAAGCAAGAAATCACCCCACAGGAGGGATGATCACGCCGCAATCCCTTCTCCAATTCTCCT